AAACGGCACTCTACACATTGTATGAAGAGTACAGACAATCGCCAACGTGCGGCTAAGCACAAGGCACAGGAAGAAGAAGAATATTTAGCTTATAAAACACTTATAAAACACAATCAACTTTTGATTTCTAACGACAATTTCTCTTGACGGAAGATAATCAAAGACCAAAATGACATTTCTCGCAAATTTTGAGGTTAAATTAGTGGAAAAGTTAAAAGTTTGATAACTTTTTCTACTAATTAAAAATGTCTACCACTAATGTTGACGTTCTGAATGCTTACTTTGAAATTAAAGGAACACACTTCTACGCTAATTGAAACCACTAATTGCGAGGTTTCTGAATGAAACTGTAAGATTAATTTAATTTCACGAGCTTTGAATTATTATTTTTATTATCATTTAATCCACTTGACATAACTTCAAAATTCTAATTCTTATTAATTTTTCAGCGATGGACAACAATGTACGGTACCATTCGAATCATTTGGTTATACAAGCTTGTGCGTTCAACGGTACGACAGTAAAAGATTGATGGTTTACGAAAACAGTACCAAGAAAGTTGTTTTTGATCAATTCAAAGTACCTTCGTGCTGCGCGTGTATGGTTAAGAAAGTATGAACTAGCCATTAAATCAGAAGTCAGAAGAGATGTTCTAGAAAAATGGGTTTATGGATGAAACATACGGAAGAATTTCAGACATTTTGATATATTTTGATATTTTTGAATGAAAGCGTTGATTGAAAGAATTGGTGTTTTTTTTTGGTTGTCAATTTGGTTGTGGTGTTTTGTTCTTATTTTTTCAATCAGACGATGGAAGGTTTACTTATAACTACAATTTCGTGTGTTTTTCGAGTTTTTAATATGATTTTACATAGGAAGAAACCTAATGAATGAATGTTGCATAGGTTCAGAGTAACTGAAAGGTTATTGGATTATAAATTTAGCACTTAATTGAAAAAGAAGTGCGAAATCTTCATAATTTAATACTATTTTATCTATACACAATACTGAAGCATTTAAACCTCACGTTGAAACTATAGAAGATACCAAATAAACTTTTAGTCACGTGATTAAGCTTGGCCGTCACAGCGTTGCCCACTTTTACATATTTTCCTTTAATCAAAATATTTTGGGAAACAAAAATAAATTAAGTATAAATATACAAACAGTTATTATTTAAATGAACAAAATTCACTTCCTTAACAGCATTTAAGGGACGTAAAGGGCCGTAAAATTATTACTGCTTTCCCGTTCAAAATATTCTAATAAGGTTGCGATGAGTTTTTTACACTGGCTATCTTGTACACTGCGCACTAAAAGAGGTTCTAAAATAACAATGTTCCACTGCAAGGTCTGTTATTTGTCTGTTAAAAAAATTTAAGCTTAAAATATTACAACATAATTACTAAAATGTCAAAATGAATAACAATGTCAGGAAATAAATAACTAAATATGGCAACTTGGCATTTTTTACAGCAGAGCTACCATCTGAATCCCCAGCGGGAAATTTAAATTCCAGTTAGTCAGTCCGTCGCCGGATATGCCCATGGTTGGCAACAATGAATTTAAAAATTGCGCTCTCGATTACATAACTAGAAGTTTAATTGGTATCGCTTATACAGGGTGTCCCACTTAAGATGGATACAAGCCAATATCTTGATTGTTTGTTGAGCGATCTTTTTCATTTTTGACAGGAGGCTGTATGGCTATAAGACGTACATTTTGCCCAGGGTAAGAAATGCGATACCTCATAGACGTACGTTTTAATGGGGTTTGATATTTTTCGAGTCAAGAGTAAACTACCCGTAGGACAGTATTTAATTCAAATCTGATAAATTATATTGAATCCTCCTTACCCAAGATACTTATGTTCTAATTTTGATAAGTATTGATACAGGGTGTGTTATCAAAATAAGACATTTTTATTTATATTATTATTTTTTAAGTACTTACGACGCCACTGGATAAACAACTGGTTTATTATCAATAACCAATTATAACCAATTATCAATTAATAATCGATTTAAGTTTTCAGATAGGTTCCATAATAATTAGTAGTGGGAACTATCGAATGAATACTATCAAAACATTCGATAGTTGCAATTCATTCGAATAATTCGATAGTTAGTACGAAAACATTCTTTGAAAACTATTCGAATAAAAATTATCGAATAGATCCGTCATCTGCCTTGAACTATTGTATTCTAGTAATTCGGCAGCAAAAACCATTCATTTATAAAATTCATTCATTTATGAAATTCATTTATTCGTCAGGATCGATTATAATAAAATATTAACTGAATTTTAGTTGTCGCCCGGCGACGTAGGTTTCTTTCCGAGAAACCCGACAGCAGTCGGTGGCAATGCTATCAAAGAAGCCGGCATCTTTGATTTTTTGCGGAGTCAGATATAGATAAGGACACATTATTTTTTTTTATTGAGGTGCTAGTATTTACACAGAAAATACATTATGAAGGGCGCTGTTGCCATATTTTGGTATTAGTTGATATTAGCAAAGAATATTATTGTTTGGCTTTAGTTAGTTAGGGATAGTATGTCTATATATTTTATATTTTTTTATTAATATTCTGTTGTTACACTGCAATAATACTTGTTATTTTGGATGTAGGAAAATTATTTTTAATGTGTTTAAGCAAAGACTGGTTTAATAAATAATAATAACAGTAATAATTTGTTATACCTATTAACAACAAAATTTGAAATCATTTAATATAAACATTTTTTTTAAGTAGTAGCAAAATATAAACAACAAATTTGATGTCAAAATTATTTATATTAGATCCTATTTAAAAATAATATAGTCTCTCAATTTTTTGTGGCAACGTTGGTTTATTAAATAATAATAATTACAGAACTAATTTGTTATATTAACAACAAATTTTAAAATCATGAAATATAAACATTTATTAATTTTCTAAGCGTGCAGTGTAATGCAAGGAAAATATAAATAAAAATTAGAAATCAAAATTATTTATATTCGGTACTTTATATTACTATTTAATAATAATAATATTTACTTTTACTGGTATTTACTTACTAAAAAATAAATGAAATATTTCTTCGCAAAAAACTACATGTAAGAGAATTAGCATAAACAAAATACAAACATCGTTAACTTTTTTTTAAATTGGCACGTGTAAAACTTTTAATTTAATTTTCTCACCCCATAGTCTGAGTTCGATAACCATTTACTTAACCACATTAATTAATATAATTATTAAGTTCAACTAATTCATATTATTAAAACATCTAAAATACAAATATGTATTTTTAAAATTAATTGTAAGTTCATCTCATCTCTCTTAAAAATTGCTACTTCTCAAAATTTCCCATTAAAAAATAGACCATATACCATATAAAATTAAATAATTGAAAGATCGGGCTACGGAAAATCACACAAACTTTCGGAAAAATTTTGACCACCTGCACACGCACACAATCGTCAATTAAAAAAACTACTATTTTAGTATTTTAAATATTTTAATAAACGCAAAAATAGCACAGTATTTATAAGGCGAAGTTATAAAAATTTGGAAGAACTAATAATGCACTGACGCACACAAAAATCAAACGAATACTAAATTTCATTTGTCAAAAGCATTCGATAGTCGTGGCTCAACGATAACCATTTAGTCGCACGGCGAGGTTGTCACATATGCTTTAGTATACAAATGAATGAATGATTTTATTCGAATAAAATCATTCGATAGTTGAAATCATTCATTCATTAACCATTCGATAGTCTAATTCATTCGATAGTTCCCATCGCTAATAATAATTAAGATACGATACAAAAAAACTAAATATTTTCAATTTATTTTGTTTACTTTAAAAAATTGTTTTTTAAGTTTGCTAATACAAATGAATAAAATGAGTTACAAAATAATTTAAAAACCTAGTTTTCATTTGAATCTGAAATATGATTTATATTCGTTTTATTGAGGAATATTTAAAAAAATCCAAATAGTTATTTAAAACAATCACTATTAACTTTGAAAAATATGCTCTAAACAAAGATTTATAAAACTATAACGAACTAAAAGTCAACATCTTCGACCAAACTTAAATCAATTATTAATTGATAATTGGATATAATTGGTTATTGATAATAAAGCAGTTGTTTATCCAGTGGCGTCGTAAGTACTTAAAAAAATAATAATAAAAATAAAAATGTCTTATTTTAATGACACACCCTGTATCAATTTTTATAAAAATTAGAACTTAAGTATCTTAGGTAAGGAGGATTCAATATAATTTATCAGATTTGAAATAAATACTGTCCTAAGGGTAGTTTACTCTTGACTCGAAAAATATCAAACCCCATTAAAACGTACGTCTATGAGGTATCGCATTTCTTACCCTGGGCAAAATGTACGTCTTATAGCCATACAGCCTCCTGCCAAAAATGAAAAAGATCGCTGAACAAACAATCAAGGTATTGGTTTGTATCCATCTTAAGTGGGACACCCTGTATATGCATATAGTTATCAAAATTGACTGTATATTATAAGTAATATGTACAACACATTTTAGCTAATGTATGTCCAACGAATCAGGGGAGCTTTCGACAGACGAAACACAAAAAATGACAGAAAATACAATTTTATATCACTGTCATGTACCCTCTTGTTGGACAGACTATGTCTCTTAATATAGTTTATTTTTTCAGAATATTAAAAAAACGATGTCTGTCATTGATTAATATAATTTTGATGAATGTAATTTAGACTACAATCTTCAGCTGTATATTATTAAATTTTTGTATTTTTCGTATATAAAATTATTATAATATATAAGATAAGAAAAAAATAAGGTGATATTCCTAATAATAGATAATATGTTTGATTCGACTGATTAATATAGGATAAATATAAAATCTTTTAAAGAAAAAGGGAATAAAAAGATTTTATAATTTAACAGTTTTTTTATTATTATAAAACTATTATTAGATAAATTGTATTTTTATTATTTACAATTAAGTAAAATAAATTAATGTACAATCCTAAACGTGTATGGTTCTTTCACAAACAACTTAACAAGTATAGAGTAAAAATAAAATAATAGAGTAACAGACAATAAGAAAATTGAGCATGTATAAACAGGAGAGAAATAAATAAAAATATCAAGGGGACGCTTTCAATTTAGTCTGGCTTAACTATAAGGAAACGTATTGGTTGTTTGGTGGTATTTTTCGATGTGAGTTCTATGGAGGCTTTCTGAAACAAACAAAAAAAAATATTAGAGATGTACAGGGTGTCCCACTAAGAATAGCTCTCGGCTGTATCTCGGAAAATATTAGCCGTAGCGGCTGCGGAAAAAAATATTTATAACTAAAGAGGCTATGGGAAATTGCTGGAAATTATTTTCAAGTTTGTAGAACGGCCGCTAGGGGGCGCAACTGCAACAAAAAATAAGAAAATGGAGTTTTTACACAATTTTGCCTAGATAAGGTGTACTATAAGTAATAGCTCCATAATCTTCAGGAAATTTTGAATATTTTTTGTTAGAGCCATTTTCCCCTATCTACCAAAATAAAGTGGTGGGGGAAGGTTAGATCTGTTTTTATTTGAATATTAATAACTCTGGACTGGATGATTAGAATCCAACAAGCGAGGGCTCGTTTAAAAGAGTGTTTCTTACTCTATATTGTACCATATAAACAATAATAATAAGCTTTTGAACGTAGACGCTAGGGGGCGTTGTCTTACAATTTATCAAACATTGCGGGTTTTTAAAAAAAAATAAATGCAATAGTATATGTAATTTTAGCTGATAGTAAAGAGTAGTAAAAGCTTAAAAAGTCAGCGAAAACCGCATCTTGATATCTTCTTTCAAACCGAAGATATTAGCAAAATTATAATAAATGCCAAAAATAGCTTAATTATATCTTATGTATTAATAACTAATAATTAAGATACCGTCTTGATCGAAAAAAAATGCCCATTCTAACCTGGAAATGACGATCGATGACGTTTAGTATAATTTTATTTTAAAATCGACGATCTTATACCAGAATATCATATCGTCAGATGCCGTTTTTATTCGATCATACGGTATTAATAATAGTGAACAAGAAACGATGATTCAGTGAAGTCATGGTAGGCTTTAGAAAAAAAGGTGCTGTTGACGTAATAATATAAACGTCAAATTGTTATTAGATCAACATTTTGATAGTCTTAGCAGCGTTTTTTATCTTTTGATTGCTTTTTCAAAATGCCAACAACTTCAACTACTTCAAATAATAAAGGCATTTTGAAAAAGCATTTAAAAGATAAAAAAAAAACGCTGATAAGACTATCAAAATGTTGATCTAATAACAATTTGACGTTTATACTACTTTATTTTTACGCGAAAAACAACATTTTTCCAAAGCCTACCATGACTTCACTGAATCATCGTTTCTTGTTCAGTATTATTAATATCTTAATTATTAGATATTAATACATCTGGTATTCTGGGTATATTATTCTGGTGCGGTATTCCGTCGATTTTAAAATAAACTAACTGTTTCTATCTTATTTTTTTTTGTTAAAATGGGCCTAATCAAGAGGGCTACTGATACTGTATTGTAAAAATACGGTAATTAAGGGCTTATTTCTTGGTATTTATTATAATTTTGCTAATATCTTCGGTTTGAAAGAAGATATCAAGATGCGGTTTTCGTCGACTTTTTAAACTTTTACTACTCTTTACTATCCGCTAAAATAACACATACTATCGTTTTTTTTTTTTTGAAAAAACGCGCTATGTTTGTTAAATTGTAAGAAAGCGCCCCCTAGCGTCTACGTTCAAAGCCTTATTATTATTATTTTTATGGCATAATATAGAGTAAGAAACGCTCTTTTAAATGAGCCGTCGTTTGTTAGATTCTGATCATCTAGTCCGGAGTTATTAACAATTAGATAAAGATAGATCTAACCTTCCCCCACCACTTTATTTTAGCACATAGGGGAAAATGGTTCTAACAAAAAATATCCAAAATTTACTGAAGATTATGACGCTATTATTTACAGTACCCATTATCTAGGCAAAATTCTGTAAAAATTCTATTTTCTTATTTTGCATAGCAGTTGCGCCACCTAGCGGCCGTTTTACAAACTTGAAAATAATTTTCAGCAATTTCTCAGAGCCCCTTTAGTTACAAATATTTTTTTCCGTAGGCTTTACGGCTAATACTTCCCGAGATACAACCGAGAGCTATTCTTAGTGGGACACCCGGTACAATTCATATTAGGAATGGGGGTATGATCTTAATAGTTTTCTCTATGTACTACATAGGGTATAATGGTGTTTTATGATGGCGTTTATATATGGAATCTGAAATATTAATAAGGTAACTGTAATTTTATTTATTACATATTCCTTATGTCATTCTATGCAAATATATATGTACACTGTACACTATGTCTCGACTTTTTTGTTAAAAAGTAAATATATGCAACTATACTACTGGTAAGTGTTGGTGTGTTAGTGTTAGTCCAGTCAGTAACTCACATGTCACTACGTCAGTCTCTTCAGTCCATCCGCTGTCAATTCATAAGAATGAGACTTAGCCACGTGGTACTCTCCCTTGGAAGACGGTCGACTATACCTCACTTCCGTGGGAGCCCTTTTCCTTTTTTTCGAAGACGATATCCTGGTACTCGTACTCTTGTATCTGCTAGAACCTCTAGACGACCCTGAGTGACTTTTTGATGAAGGATACGAAGATTTTAAACTCGAATATCCATCCCTGGATGTTTTGAAACTGCTTGGTATCCTCGGAGTTTCCTCTGGAAGGAAGTTAGTCAAAGATGACAAAGCTGGATCAGAGTTTTGAATCTTTGAAGGTGATTTTTGTATATCTATCAGTGCTGGGGAATATAACAAGCTCAAACTCGAAGGTTTGTATCCCGTATTAACCTGTTCTTTTTCCAGAGCGTCTTTAAGAGCTCCCAGACTCTGAGGAGCGTCTTTCGGGAGCTGGATCTTCGAACTAGCCACCGTGGCACCCTCAGAAAGCTCCCCACGAGTCAGTTTTACTTTGTGCTCGTAGTTATTCGTACCTTGGGCAGCTAGATTCTCTTGGAAGTCGTCATAACCATCCTGTTGCTGGGAGAAATCAACTCCAAAAGGCACACTGTTCGAAAGGGAATTGACATTAGTCTTTGAAAAGGTGAGATCGAGACTGTGAGTGTTCTGTTCTCCGATGGAGGGTGCTGCAGAGTGCGTTATTGGTGCAGGAGGACCAGGTTCAGCCTCGAAATGCGGGGGTGCAGGTGGATTTAAAGACGAGTGACTGTCTTCGGGTGTGAACTGGTCGCCCTTTCCATCGTAGGCGGCTGGTGCTGCGGGTTGTTGCTGGTGGCCGCCGGAAGAGGACGCCAGTCCTAAAATTTTACCTACAAGATTGCCGACGCCTCCGCCACTGCCTGACGAGGAATACGAGGTTGCTGCGTGGCCAGATACCTCTTCGGATTTGCTCTGGGAAGAGCGGTATTTGTCCTTGTTTGGAGCAATGCGTCTGAGGACTATTAGTCCTTCTGATCCGTGATGAAGTTTGGCTAAGATTAAAAGAATATATTAAATTAAAACATGGTTTTTATTATTCTGAAACTTATAGTGTGATGCTTATGATTGTGAAGTAATTTGTATGTTTTTTTTTGTAAGTTTATGTAGGTAGCAGGTAGGTATTTAAGTGTCCAGTAAGAGAGAGTGTTTTGTCAGCATAGTATATATGTATAGTAAATATACTAAAAGTAGTGAATTTATAGTACGTATTGATTGCAAAGTCATATTTGTAATTTCAGCGATTTTTAATTGTCTGTTGTGTGTAGTAGCGCGTAGGCGAAACTTTTACCAGAAATATAAATAAATAAGTTTGTTTTTCAAACGTCACAAAATTATTAATTTTTGCGACGTGATTGGATTGACAGTATAAAAAGTAATTTTAACGCATAGGCATAAAAATAAAGCACTTTTACGCCTAAGCACATAAGTATGAAAATATATTAATAGTTATTTTTTATACAAGACGATAAAATGGTATTTTATCGTCGATCGAAAAGATTAACTCACGAGCGATGAATGCAATTTTATCGTCGTGTATAAAACAATATTTTTTTCCATAGCGAGTTACGTTCATGCCCTAGACACTCAATGGTAATTTTATAGAACTCCAAATTTAGTTTCTTCCGCATCGCCAGACGGCGCAAAAGAAATTAAAGTACAGGTTTCTAATTTATATATGAAGATGAAGACAGTCCCTATGTTGACTATTGTCTGTGGTCTAGTTTTTGTCTAGTTGACATCATGTTGACATGTTGACAAAATGTTGGTGATCCGTCAAGTTATTTTTAAATCATTATTTTGATCATTATTTAAATAATCATTAATTCAGATATTCCTGATTTATCGGAAAGTTCGGCGATTTCAGTGATTTGTGTTTATAGTTTGTGTTTTTATTAGTTTGTGCATTCTGATATTTAGAGTCGATCATCATTTTCGTGTTAGATACTAAACTTTTTATTAAAGTCATTCTGACATTTTAGAAAGTATAAATTTATGAACCAAATAAAAAAAAATAGTTTAATCATAAATAAGTAAGTACATAGTTGGTAATATATTGTATTTTTTGTAACAGTTAATTAGTAGTCTATAATATTTTTGCTATATAATTTATTTGTTAAATCAAAAAATAGGCGCTATGTGCTCTATTGTTGGTGTTTAAAATGTATGTATATATTTTAATTTTGTTTTAATTATGTTACACTTCTAATGATCTAATAAAACATAAAATGCAACAAAAAAGTCTATATTTATTATTTTATATTTTACAAGGAGTAATTTTGAGCTTGAATAACGTTACCGTTTTAGTTAGCGTTAATAAGTAACGGAACGCTAAAATTATGTTATGCCAAAACTCTCCATTAGTTTCTTCCGGATCACCAGGTGGCTCTAAATGACGGACCCATTTGTTTTATATCAGTGTCCAATCTATCTCTAGTACATGACATTAGTCTATGGTTACGTTTTAAAAAATATTCAGAAATTATTATTTCAAGGAATTTAATACGAGTAGAAAAAATATTGTGCTGGGTTGGCGTTGGTTTCTATGTAATTTGACAAATAAATAAAGCTGTCTCTTCAGGTCCGGATTTCCGCCTAGGCCTGCCAGGCCCGGGCCTAGGGGCCCAGCTAGCCTAGGGGCCTCATGCAATGAGTGGCGCGCAACTTTTATATATAAGCTCCAAATTGGCTATGACATGGGGGGCCCCAAACGTCAAGGCCCTAGATGTCTAAGTCCGGCACTGTGTCTCTTTAGCTGTCAGTTTTGAGCCAATATTTTTTAATTCTCTTTCGTGTCGATTGCTGATTGAATTGGAACCAGAAATGGCTCAAAACGAAATAAGTAAATTACAAACAGATATTCAGGCTGAGGCGACAAACGCCATATCCAAACTACTTCCATTTAAATCCGGAATAACTTATGAAAAGGAATACAAACATTTTAAAAAATGGAAGCAATTAAAAAACGTGCGAGAAGAAATAAAGTTTTTAACCTATCCCTCGCTGTTAAAGTATCATTTAGTCTACCCTTGCGGTTAAAGTAATATTTTGTCTACTATTTTTGATCGATATAAGCACCATATTTTAACAATTGCTATGGAAAAAAGTCTTTTATCTATGACATTATTAAACTGACATAAAGTGTCAAATTCAAAAAGCGCAACCATAGTTTCTCGATATTAATTACGAACAAGGTATTACTTTTAAATATGTTTATATTATTTAGAACGTTTGAAATTGTTTAAACGTACAGCCTGGTCAAACGTAAAGCCTCGTCACAAAGTGTCATTTTTACTCCTAATAAAACAATATACTATTATTAGAGTATTATAATTAGTAACAGTAGGGACTAAATTAAATTTTGTAAACCTAGTTCCGTTTAAGAATTATTTTTTTTTAAATCGATATTCAAAATATTTGGCGAATGCGCTAGAATACACAAAAATATTTGAAATATTAGAGTAAAATTGATTTCGTTTGCCGCATAAAATTGTTTTAATAATATTTAATATAAAAATGAATGAATAAAAAAGATAATTTTTTGATAAAATCTGAAAGTGTTATGAGGCGTACTGAAAAGGGATTATTCAACAAGTCTACCATCTGCCTCCGTGGCGCAATTGGCTAGCGCGTTCGGCTGTTAACCGAAAGGTTGGTGGTTCGAGCCCACCCGGGGGCGAAACTTTTTTTTATTTTTTATTTTTAAAAATATATTGAAAATACCTTTTTTATCATTTATCTCTTAATACGATAAGCAAATTTTACATAAAAAATTTTAATCAATAAATAAATAAACTAATTAATTAATGACTAAAATAACTATTATGCCTAAATTGGAATTTGCCCAGTATAGCCTAATATGTAGTTAAAATAACTATTGTACTTTAAATCAAATTAAAACTTGACCCAAAAATTTATACAGGGTGAGACAAAATTAATATTGAACATTGGTCACCTCCCAAAGCAAGTTACTCTTTTATTTTAAATGAAACACCTAGTATATTATTCCAATATTTAATGAGAAATTCATGTCTCTTCAAAATATTATTAAGGTTGCCTACCCCTCAAACAAAGATTTTCCTAGATATTTTCATTTTTATGATTTAGTGTCACTGGATCTTTATTATTTGATAAAATCTAGGTGGCTGTGATATGTCTGACGTTACTTCAATATATCTGTCTAATTAGTCCAATTCTAACAACTAGTTATCATTTTGTTTCAGGTAGAAAGAAAAAAAAATCAGAATTTTGCAGAAAATGCAAACTTATTGCTGCAGTGTGCATTCATCAATTAAGAGAATACTTAAGATGTTTATCGGGATATGTTAAAGACAGTGTTTACAAAACATGACCAACTATCGTCGACAACATGAGAGAAATGATTATGTTAATATTTTTTTCAAATTACGTTGAAAAACAACCAACTTAATTACCTCCGCGTAAGACAATGGACTCCTGTATATTATCGTTTGATAATAAGTAAATTACTAGATAAGAAAAAAAAAATAACATGTAGCTACTATTATGAGGAGGGTGTAAATCTTCTTAAGCACACCATCATTCAGTGCCTATTTATAACATCTATGACACAGACGAACTGCCTTCTACACTTCGGTGTGAATGTATTTTGAAATAATAAACATTCGGGCACAAATTACTTGATGCCGAGATTTATAAACATTCCCTGACCAACCATCTAAACATCAGGTCTTATTAGTCATTAATAAAGCCACATCATAGTTGTTTAAGTGTTCATTTTGGTGTTTCAACGGAAATGACATGCAAATCTTTTTTTAAATACTTATCTCAGCCACGGCTGAAAGTGAATTCGAGAGAACAGCTGTGTGGCATGCACGACTCATCTTATCGATAAACAAATAAAATATATGCATATAATATGTAGAAAGTTCGAAAAGTGAAGAAAACTTTAAAATTTTTGATAGGAAACGAAAGTCTGACCTTTGAGATTAAAAAATTATTAATTTGATTAATTGTTTAAACGTGATGCATTAATATGTTTAAAAATTAAAGATTGTAATTAAGAAATTATTGTTATTTATTGATACTAAATCATTAACTTGTTGACGCATTATAAAAAAATCCATATATACCGTCAGTGAGATCATAATGCCCTTCATAATGACTTTCTGGGCCATAGCTTCCTCCTGATGCCGATGAAGGCGGAGCATCGTACACTTCAGCAGCTCCACTTGGGGCAGAGTAACTTCCAGAAGTTCCATAACCTATAAGTAACATTGTTTTGCTTAAATATCATATAAAAGTAGTTTTAAATTGTCGTTCTCATAGTTCTCCGACGTCTAAAACAATCGCATTTTCTAAAATGTTTACCCATTTATCTATTTTACTAATTTACTATTTTACTAATTCAAACTTTCTATATGATTATTTTTTAATTTTTACGTATGTGATATTCTTTAAAAGGAAAGAAACGATTGCCATACCATTAGTAACATCTACAGATGCATCAGCAATACATATATTTTTATTAGATTGCATTAAAAAAGCCTTTTTTATTTTTCTCTCTAGAGTGGGAACCAATCAAAGACATCTAACTAAAGGGAAGACACAACAGTCAAGTCATAAAACTCCATAATTTATTTACAGTCATACATATTTAAATACTTTTATACAGGGTTGTTCACTACATACGACACGGAGTATTGTAGCTAAACGATGAGGTTTTTACAAATTGTAAGTTTTGGGTTCGATGGAGGACTATTAGAGGTACAATTTAAAAATAATTTTACAAGATACAGAGTGTCCCAAACAAGTAAAAAATATCAAAGTTGTATTTTTTTAAACGGAACACCCTGTATATTATTACATTTTTAGTTTCTACGATTAAAATAAAGGTAAATTTGATTAGGGTTTATTATACTTAAACCTTACCGTTTTTATTTTCAATTTTGTGAAATTGCAGTAAAAAATTTAAGGCTTCATTTCTCCAAACACATTAAAGTTTTTAATACTAAATATTTACTGAAGTTTATTTGTTGATCAGTTATTGTGTTGCAATAATAAAAATAATACTACCTTATACAGAGTGTCTAAAAATTTATTTTAAATAATTATCAGCTTCAAACGGCAATAACGTGTTTAATTTAAATGGAACACCCTGTATATTTTACGAGAATCAGATGCTCAATTTACTATCAAATTGTATTATACCATTTTTTACCTATCTTTAAGTTTCCGTAGAAAATGCATTTTCTTGTAATTTTGAACTTATTTATCAATATACCCATGGAATATTGACATTTTAGATTATTTTTAAAGATGTACCAAATTTTTAAAGAGTACAGATACTAATATTGTCGATATAATTCGGTTATTTCACTAAAAAATAAAAAAACTCTTTAAATATTTGTTAAAGAGGACCAATTAATATGATTCTAGTGACTGTTTGCGTTGATTAATAATAATTGCCCTAAATACTAAAAAACTGTGTTTTGTATATGTATTTGACAGTGTGGTAAAAAGTAACACCTTAAAATGATATTTCATTTTTTAATAAATGCTTATTTATAACAACAGAGACGTTAATTTTGATAACTTATTATTATATTGATTTCTGACTCAAATCCACATTTATTTAGAATAATTTATTAACGAACACAATTAAGTATGTAATTAATTAGTATATGGGCGGAAATAATGGTGTTATATTTAATTAATGGTATACTCTTTTATAAAGATTTAAATAGTTTGCTTTTTGGGGTCCTAGATAGTTAACACCTTGAACAACGACGTGGAAATAAAAACTAGAATAGAACAAGCGAGAAATGCATTTTTAAAAATGAAGAACGTCTTCCAGAACCCCAGATTGGACCTTGAGTTGAGAACTAGGCTCGTTAAGTGTTATGTTTGGTCAATCCTATTATATGGAGCAGAAACATGGACACTGAAAGTTCAAGAGATGAATCGCCTCGAATCGTTCGAAACATGGATATATCGAAGAATGCTTAAAATTCCATGGACAGCCCATATCACAAATACCGAAGTCTAGAACAGAATAGGCAGAGAAAGAGAATTGCTCAATATAATAAAAATAAGAATAACATCATACTTAGGGCATATATTGAGAAACGAAAAATACCACTTCTTACAATTGATAGTTAAGGGTAAGATTGAAGGAAAGAGAGGTCTCGGCAGGAAGAAACTATTTTGGTTGAGAAACATCAGAAACTGGACTCACCTAACTTTTGAAGAACTCATAAGGAAAGCCGAGAATCGTGAAGATTTTGCCAATGTGATCGCCAACCTCCACGAAAGAGACGGCACGTAAAGAAGAAGATGATAACATTGTTGTTTCGTGTGAATTTCTGTTTTCTGGGATAAAATTTAAATAATTTTCTCTCGTTTAAGTTAGATGTCTTTAGTATTACTATTTATCGGTCTGGCTTACCCGAATGATGATACGACGAATGCGTTTTGGGCGGCACCAGCACAGCTTTCTGGATAATGCTCTTCCCTATATCTGTGACTTTGTCGCCTCCGGCCGCGAGAAGTTTGCCTCCCCCCGAAACCACGTAACCGCTACCTTTGATTATTTGCCCTTTGATGGCCAGCACTCCACCCTGAATGGCTTTCACGGCTTGCAGCAGCGTATTGAGTACGGATTTCTTCAGGTCCCACAAGTTATATGACGGTTTCTCGTAAGTCTGAAAATTATATGTATATAGTTGAAAGGATTATACAAATTTAAATGATTGAAATTATAATTTCATTTGATTAAGGGTCCATTTTACTAGTCCGAAAAAGTGGCAAAATAAGCGTTCGGCATTTAACGTTTTATGTCAAACTGGCTAGGTATTTTGGTTTGATTTGGCAGAAGGAAATTAGAGATAAAGGATTATACTATATCCGTATTGTACACTGATAAATAAAAAAAATAGACTTGAACTAAAGTCGTCATCGTTCTTGAAAAAAAAAGAATTAGTGGCAAGAGAATTTATTTTAGCGTAAAAGAAAATATTTTGCCTGAAGAAAAACTCTCTTAACTCAAGAAAGCTGGTTCTCTTGAAAAATTCGAAAATTTCTCTTGAATCTACTTTCATTCAACCAAGTGCAACTTACTTTGTTTTAAGATAATAAAAAAATACGCTAGGAAGTACTTCATTCAAGAAACATGGCCATTTTTCCAATAGCTAAATACTCTTTTGATGAAAAATAATAACGACACGCAAAGACGATGACGAAGGACGGTATATACAATCAGTCGGCAGTCCGATCAGTCGTACGTCGCATTTCATAGGTCGCACATCATAGTACGCACGGGTTTTGTTGCTTGGAATTTTTCATTTGGAATTTTGCATAGGTAATTTACTTTTTAAACGTATATCGTATAACAAATTAGTAATAGTTATTAACATGCATTTGTCATTTTTTATGTACAAATTTTAGAATATATGGATTCTTTAAAGGAGTTTCTGAAAAAAATGGAAATTAGATCATTTATTTGTTATATTTGAGGGTAAGAGACATTTACCTAATGCACCTATTTAGATAATGCATGCGTGACTATAGATAGAATAAGAATATAGGTATCAATTTTTTTATGCAAATAATTACAAAAAATTTAGAATTTCAAGTCGTCGTATTAAAAAATTCAAAATGTGACCAAAGCTAATAATTTTAATAATTTATTTGCTTTACTTTGATTAATCGTGATGTAACATTTTTTTTGTAATTTGTAGAGTGATGAACCATCCCAAAAAATACCAAGGAGTGAAGAAGCAGAAATAACTACTATCGAGGAAAATAATATCACTTTACTTACTACAGACCAGGAAAACCTAAATTTATCAGAAAATAATATACCACGTAATATGCCTGTATTTGATGTATAGGCTTCTCTTAGATCAAAATAAATTTTAGTTGAGTCAATAGTATTCGCTATTGGTTTAAGAAAAGTGTCTCTTTAATCAAGAAATGTCCCTTTTCAATCAAGAATTTTTACATGAATCAAAGAGACTATTGTTCTTGTAGCAAGAACTTCTTTGCATATTTATTTTGGGTCAAGAGTGAAATACTTTGGACAGATAGATTCTTCTATTCTCTAAAGTATTTTTTTAAAGCTTATGAAAAGATAGTTAATGCTTTGGGCAAAGAAACGTCGTTCTTAGCCCTATTGAAAAGCGCCAATCTTTTGGGTCAAAGTCATATTTATTTCGACTGAGAGATCCTTTTTTCAGTGTAGCACATTTTTCGCGTTCGTCAAGAATGTATACTTTCTCCGCTATTATTTAATATATATAGCGAATCAATTTTTCGGGAGGCCTTGACTAGTAGAAAGGAGGGCATCACTATTAATGGGCAGGTCTTAAATAAAATGCGGTTCGCGGACGATACCGTCCTTATAGCAGGAGGGTCTGCAAATACTTCTACAAAGACTAAACAACACGTGTAGAGTCTATGGCCTGAAAATGAACACTAAGAAAACTAAATTTATGATAATCACTAAGAGAGAAGATGTCCAAGCCAATGTTCTAATAGATGATACACCTATGGAGAGAGTACAAAAATATAAATATCTAGGCAGTTGGTTGACCGAAAACTTGGATCAATCAGCAGCAATAAAAGCTCGAATAGAAATAGCCAGAGCAGCCTTTGTAAAAGTCAAAAAATGTCGCTGCAGTGGAGACATCAACTTAAAGCTTAGATTAAGAATGCTAAGGGGTTACATATTTGCAACTCTACTCTATGATTCAGAGGCTTGGACACTTAAAAAGGCCGAAATGGAGAAGCTTGAGGCATTCGAAAGACGGTGTTATCGGCGTATGTTGAGGATTGCACGGACTGACAAGGTTACAAATGTAGAACTGCGACCCAGAATTCAGAAGAGGGCGAAGAGGTGATTAACACTTTTAAAAAGAGAAAACTTGAGTACTTTGGACACATAATGAGAGGACCTAAATATGCCCTGCTGCAGAACATAATAGAAGGAAAGATAAAGGGCAGAAGGAGCCAAGGAAGAAGAAGAACATCATGGCTCAAGAATTTGAGAGAATGATTTGGAATGACTTCAAACCAGTTATTCAGAGCAGCCGTTAACAAAGTTAGAATTGCCATGATGATTTCCAACCTCCATTAGGAGATGGAACCCGAAGAAGAAGGGCACATTTTTAGACAACTTCTTTATCTTTAAGATGTTGATCGTCAAACATCAACAAAATATTTCTTATGTTTGGAGTAAAATTTTCTCGAAAATAAAGATATAATTTAAAATTTCCTTACAATACGGAAATAGATTGAAGTTTTGTGATTACAGTAATATATAATTTAGATGGTTTTATAACAAATTGCTTGCTATTTTGTGGCAAATGCTGAAGCTCTGCAATCCTTAATCAAGCATTAATCAAAGCACGTGTTTTTAGTATTTTGGGTGTGGCCAAGTGTGGCTTAACATAACAGGATAGGGCTAAGTCTTAGGCAGATTTCAGAAATATAATATATATCTACTAGATGGCTACTAGATGGCTCTGGCTACTCGATGTTCAGTCGTTAATACACACCGCCCGGAACAGAGAAGCAATGGAAAATGTTATCGCAAACATCCATTAATGGATCTGCACTAGAAGAAGAATATATATTTCCTTCGGCCAAACACCCGCTTTACCCGATACGTAACTACAATTATTAGATTTAGTTAAATAAAAAATGAATTTTACGATTTTACAAACTATTTTTTCCTCAAAAAAAAACCAGACTAGAAAAAAAAATACTAGACAGATCTATTAGTTAAAAGTTAAGTCGATTTTTTTACCACCATATTTTTATTTAAAAAAAAAAATTATCTAAATGTTTTAGCATTTGTAAATATTTCAAATTAAATCATTGATATTTCAAATTTTACAAATTCGAGAAAAATATGCAAAAAATAGCTTTAAAATGACATTTATCTAAAAAAAAACACTCAATGAGAATTACGATATTATAGTAAAAAAAATCATGGCCAAATCCAATCAACTAAAAAATTTCCCAAGACTCAGTGTTCTGAAAAAGCTCCATATCGAACTTGTAATTTGAAATTTCCACTCAAATCTTTTTTAGAAACTATGGGAACAATGCAAGCTCAAAAGCTTTTCGAAGCTGAAAACGTGTTTGGTGAAAATCCGCTTCAGTCACACAATTGGAAACTTGATATATAGAGTAAGAATAGAAGAAGTAAAATCTGATCCATTAGGAACAATTACTTTGGAAAAAATCCTAACCAGAACAATAGAAATCATTAAATTACCTATAAATTATATTAGTTTATTATAATGTCTTATAAATTAACATTAAAAGACATTCTAATAAATAATTACACAACACTTGAAATACTAGAGGAATATATCTATTTGGGACAACTAATACACAGCTCAGATCTTTACTACCAGAATTAATATAGCATGGAGTACATATTATGAAAGAGACTCAATTATATTCAAATCTATAATGCATACCTAGATATACAGGGTGTTTCAAAACAAATGCGAAAAACTTCAGGGGGTGATTCCTTGTTCAAAATAAAGGGTAGTTTGCTTTATAAACGTTGGGTCAAAAGTCAACCATTAGGGAGATATCGCGGTACAAAGATGGCGGAAAAATAATGTTTTTATTTTTTATCTTGAAAACGAAAAGAGATAAACTAATGAAATTTTATGGGAGCATTACTGTTATGAAAACACACTTTCTGGTAATTTTTTCACTTTTTTAAAATGAGTGGAAGGGGTTGAAATAAACCAACCCTATCATTCTTGTTAACGAAATTTAAAGAAAAATCTATCAAACATATGCAAAAAAATAATTTGGATAGTTTAGTTTGTTTAGAAACTTTTTTATCTCTTGTATTTTTTTGATAAAACTCACCGATTTGAAATTAAAAAATAAAATGTAAAGCATTACATGTCAGGACAAAAAACATTTTTAGATAAAGAATCTAGTGGGCAGCTGTAATTCTTTTAGGAAAAAATCTAGTCGGCCGCTGTCACTTTTTAGGATGTTTCTAATATTGTTTTATTTGACATTACCCTACTGCAATACGTTATTTCTAGATTATTATTATTATCATTATTATCACTAGATTCTTAATCTAAAAATATTTTTAGTCCTGACATGTAATGCTTTACATTTTATTTTTTAATTTCAAATCGGTGAGTTTTATAAAAAAAAAATACAAGAGATAAAAAAGTTTCTAAACAAACTAAACTATCCAAATTAATTTTTTTGCATGTATTTTATAAGATTTTTCTTTAAATTTCGTTAACAAGAATGATAGGGGTAGTTTATTTCAACCCCTTCCACCCATTTTAAAAAAGTGAAAAAATGACCAGAAAGTGTGTTTTCATAACAGTAATGCTTCCATAAAATTTCATTAGTCTATCTCTTTTCGTTTTCAAGATAAAAAATAAGATCATTATTTTTCCGCCATATTTGTACCGCGATATCTCCCTAATGGTTGACTTTTGACCCAACGTTTATGAAGCAAACTACCCTTTATTTTGAACAAGGAATCACCCCCTGAAGTTTTTCGCATTTGTTTTGAAACACCCTGAATAGATACCTGGACAAATAATAAGGAAACTGCAGGTCACATAACGCTCAATGGAACGAAATATGCTGGGATTAATCAAGAAAGACCGTAAAAGAATAGAGTGGATACAACTAAAGACCCAGGTAACAGACGTCATCCACAGAGTCAAATACCTCAAATGGCAAAGAGCAGGACACCTGGCAAGAACGATGTACTATAAAACTCACAACATGGTACCACAGAATATCTAGCTACGCAACAGAAAAATACTCGAAATGAAAGAGCTAAAATTGCACAAATAAAATACTAGATGGCGCGACAATATCATAATCAGAATATAATTGGAAATTTTCAACTTTCGGTTTTGGATCGACGTAGATCGACGGCACGTCGACAGCCTTGAAGCTCGGCTAAAAATGCACAGTTGCCAGATTCAAACAGACTTTAATTGGCATCCCATTCTTTTTCTGGTGTATAATAATTCCTTTCTATTCTTCGTTACTTATCAGATACACTTATATTAATTATTCGTTTGGCTTTTAAAATAGTTTTAATTTTAAGTATATTAATAGAAAACATATGCTCTCAAAATACATTTTTAATATACACTACTTTATTATGTTAACTAAGAAAATAACTTTAACTACCTTTAAAATTAATAATATACAGGGCGATTGATAGTGATATTTATTAATGCTGAAACGTTAGTAATGAAATATACGTTTAATAATAATGGAAACGATTTATTAAAATGCAGTACAAAAAATGTTAATTGACTAAAAAATACTATAATAACAATTTTTTTCTGTTTGCCACGTTATTTATATAGACCTAGGTAGATTTTAAAAAGTGACACAGGTACAATTAATAATATATTACTTAAGCATAAAAGTTGCTGTCACCGACATCGTACAATAAATTAAAATTCATAAAATAAATTAAAATTATTAATTAAAGAAATCTTTATAAAGAAACGCAAGTATATCAAATTTGGGCCCAATCGAACGCCAGGAAATGGTATCGTAATATGGTACTACATTATGGTACCCCTTGATATGCTTCATGCTGCCATAATATTGCAATGTCATCAAAAATACGCAAGTATAATCAAATATGAGCCCAATCGAACGTCAGGAAGTGGTATCGTAATATGGTACTATATTAAGGTACCACTTTATATATGCATCATAGTAGATGCATCATAGTACCATCATATTACAATGTCACCGAAGATACTTACTATACCAAGTTAAGCCCAATCGAACGCCAGAAAATGGTATCGTATATGATACTATTATGGTACCTCTTGATATGCTTCATGGTACCATAATATTGCAATGTCATCAAAAATATGCAAGTATATATCAAATATGAGCCCAAATGAGCGTCAGGAAGTGGTATCATAATATGGTACTATAGAAGGTACCAATTTATATGCTCCATGGTGCCATCATATTACGATGTTACCGAAAATACGTAGTATACAAAGTTTAAGCTCAATCGAACGCCAGGAAATGGTATCGTAATATGATGGGGCTAAATGACTACATTATGGTACCCCTTGATATGCTTCATGGTACCATAATATTGTAATGTCATCAAAAATACGCAAGTATAATCAAATATGAGCCCAATCGAACGTCAGGAAGTGGTATCGTAATATGGTACTATATTAAGGTACCACTTTATATGCATCATAGTACCATCATATTACAATGTCACCGAAGATACTTACTATACCAAGTATAAGTCCAATCGCACGCCAGGAAATGGTATCGTATATGGTACCTCTATCGGATATGGTACCTCTATGTACTATTATGGTACCTCTTGATATGCTTCATGGTACCATAATATTACAATGTCACTGAAGATACGTAATATACCAAGTTTAAGCCCAATCGAACGCCATGTATCGTAATATGGTACTATATTACGGTATCACTTGATATGCTTCATGGTACCATAATATTGCAATGTCATGAAAAATACGCAAGTATATATCAAATACCGTACGATACTGAAAAAAACGGCGTCCAGTTGGCTGGGAAAAGACGATCGATGACATTTCCCATATAAATTTACACATAAAATGACAGCGATTTATATTTCATAGCCATCGCTAACGCCGTTTTTTCCCGATCATACGGTATGAACACAATCGAACGTCAGGAAGTGGTGTCGTAATAGTAGAACAATACTTATTATATTGTCGCCGAATTACAATCAAAATTCAGGATTCAGTTAGAATCAAACGTCAGGAAGTGATTTTAATTCAGCTCGTAAGATTTAACTCCAACTAACATGGCGAGTTAAATACTTAAACGTTTGAAAAAAGAGCTCTAATCTATTTTAATATGTTTAAATGATGTAGCAAATTTGAAGCTAGGCTTTATCAGGAAATATTACAATATAAATTACACAATGGCAACACTGCATAAAATTCTTTTAAATTTCGTTTGTAGAAAACTGTTTTCTTTTAAATTTATCGGCCTCTGTTATGTAGTAGTGGAACTACCGCATCAAAATATCTGATTTGGAGACAGGCTTTTAAAGCCTGTCTCCTTTTGAGACCTACGATTTTATACATGTAACGAGGCTTCTGTTGCGTAGCTAGATATTCTGTGATGGTACTCACAAGGAATTAAGAGACCTAGAAGAAGAGCAAACCTTAGATGATACCATGATGTTAGGAAATTAGCAGGGGTAACTTGGACCCGCACAGCTAACAACAGATACAATTAAAAGGAGAACATTTAAATATGTCTGAGAGGCTAGACCATAATTGGAAATGGTTCAATAAGCTGAAAATGATGATGATGATGTTGAAATTATATTAATATACAAAATTATCTACATGAAACTCCATGATAGTTTACCTTAAGCACTTTTACTTACTACATGGGGATGATCGTACGATGTATGCGGACCTTTAGCTTCGCCATGTCCCGAAGAACTGCCCTTGCTGAAACCAGCAGAAGCCCCAACTACAGCACCAGCCGAACCTTGAGCTAGCTGTCCTAGTTTCTGCTTCAGTCCCGAAACTAAGGCTGACTTAAACTGGTTGACTATGTCAGCTGAACCACTCACATCGCCGGATCTTTTCGGCCTAAACGAGATTTATTTATAAAATAATTAGATAAGTTTTTTTTTATATTTCCACTACTAATCTAGATGGTTAGTTCTGTATAAAGGTGTTACCTGTGATAATATTTCTCCCAAAATTCGATTTCTTTGATATCTCCTTCGGTTAAATCTTCACCATTCAAAGGGTAATAGGGTGAAACCACTGCAGAACTTTTGACGGTTTTTGTAGAAAAAAATGTCCAATAAAACATCAACCATAAATGTATCTGTAACAAAATAGAAAAACATATTATACCTATACGTTGTTTTTTTTATTTTAGTTTTCTTGGGTCTCAGGCTCTGGTTTCTTCTTTTTTCTAAATTAAGACATAGAACAAATAATGTTGTTTAATCTTCAAAAACAAAAAAAATCGGCCAAAAGCCTTCATCAGAGTTTACATTTTAACATTCTGCGCTTAAAGAGGGAATTCCAATAAATAATTGCCATGTTTACATACACTATATTGTTATACAAACACTATAAGTAGATAGATTAGCCTGAGTACCAGGGCCCAAGGGTAACAAAAAGGCATATGAAATGTCCAAAAAGGCTCATCAATGCCATTTATATACAAAGAACCCTTCTGTGGCGTTGCAAAAACTGCCACAATTGCCACAAAACAGTCGTTGTTCTACAAGTCGTAGTAGAAAATTTGCAATAATGCAGGACAGACTTGATAAGCAAAGAAAGAAAGACAGTCAAAACTATAGTGGGTCTACTATAAGCTGTCGTGTCGTTTAAAGCTGATGGGATTGACCGGCAAAACCATGTGCATATTTTATCAATCTCATCATCATCATCATTGCTGACGAGTAGTTGACACGCATCAGAAGATGGTTACGCAAGGCGTTTTCTTTCATCAGCTTTTCTGTAACTGAAAAGCACGATACGTGATGTTATCTCTCTTCCGCACTCCGTTAACTGAGTTTACCTTTTCCATTGCATTCTGTTATACGCTGATTCCTCCCACTGATTCTACATGATTATCCCTTTTAAGTTTTCATGGAAAATATCCTTGTATCTTTTGAGTTGCCCACCTGGTTTCCTTTTACCGTCTACAAGCTCACCGTAAAGAAGATATTTCGGTAGGCGGTTTTCTTGCATCCTGCATAAGTGACCAGACAAATCTATGGACCAGACCATCTGAACTTCCTAGATTGCCAATCTGAATTGTCCAGCCCATTGTCAATCTGAAGAATAATCGACAGATGACAGAACACATTTTATGTCGGTGCGACAACTTGACAAATGTGCATTTCTTTGTAATAGGCAATGACAAAGAGCTATATGGGGTTGATAGATTTATTAAAAAGGATTGGATTGGAGAATGTAACCTAAAGTTCAGAAGAAGACCACAATAGATTTGAAAAATCGCCGATAGCTACAATAAGTCTATACCGGTACAATGAATAGTCTATAAACTTATTTTAACATATAACATAATATTAACCGGAAGAAAATGAATAACAAATACAATGAACTAAACAAAATTAGAAGTAGTTTAAAAACGTTAGATAACAATAAACGTTTTAAGGTGTCAAATAATCAAATATAACTGAAAGAGCGTAACAATAGACCATTAACAAAGGAAAGAGGAGAAAGTAAACACCTAATCGTTTCTTGTAAATATACAGAGTCAATTAATATTGAAGACAACACATCCTTTGTCATACATCATAGCTCTGACCATATAGCACAGAGATCACGCTAAAATACACTTTCTCTAATTCGACATCGATATATGGGTGATTCCATTTTAACTGAATTTTTTTCTGTCCCATACGATATCAAATATACTACCCCTAAAAAAATTTACACTTTTGCATATTTTTTTTTAATCAAAATATTTTAGGTAACAAAAATAAATTAATTATAAATATACAGGGTGTTTCAAAACAAATGCGAAAAACTTCAGGGGGTGATTCCTTGTTCAAAATAAAGGGTAGTTTGCTTTATAAATGTTGGGTCAAAAGTCAACCATTAGGGAGATATCGCGGTACAAAAATGGCGGAAAAATAATGTTCTTATTTTTTATCTTGAAAACGAAAAGAGATAGACTAATGAAATTTTATGGAAGCATTACTGTTATGAAAACACACTTTCTGGTATTTTTTTCATTTTTTTAAAATGAGTGGAAGGGGAATTTTTAAAATGAGTGGAAGGCGAAAAACGAAATTTAAAGAAAAATATTATGAAACACATGCAAAAATATTAATTTGGATAGTTTAGTTTGTTTAGAAACTTTTTTATCTTTTGTATTTTTTTTATAAAACTCACCGATTTGAAATTAAAAAATAAAATGTAAAGCATTACATGTCAGGACTAAAAATATTTTTAGACTAAGAATCTAATGATAATAATGATAATAATAATAATCTAGATAATAACGTATTGCAGTAGGGTAATGTCAAATAAAACAATATTAGAAACATCCTAAAAAGTCACAGCTGCCCACTAGATTCTTTATCTAAAAATGTTTTTTGTCCTGACATGTAAGGCTTTACATTTTATTTTTTAATTTCAAATCGGTGAGTTTTATCAAAAAAACACAAGAGATAAAAAAGTTTCTAAATAAACTAAACTATCAAAATTATTTTTTTTTGCATGTGTTTGATAAGATTTTTCTTTAAATTTCATTAACAAGAACGATAGGGGTAGTTTATTTCAACCCCTTCCACTCATTGTAAAAAAGTGAAAAAATTACCAGAAAGTGTGTTTTCATAACAGTAATGCTTCCGTAAAATTTCATTAGTCTATCTCTTTTCGTTTTGAAGATAAAAAAGAAAAACATTATTTTTCCGCCATCTTTGTACCGCGATATCTCCCTAATGGTTGACTTTTGACCCAACGTTTATAAAGCAAACTACCCTTTATTTTGAACAAGGAATCACCCCCTGAAGTTTTTTGCATTTGTTTTGAAACACCCTGTATAAACAGTTATTATTTACATGAAGCTTAAATATTTTTTTTTGCTTAAAATATCACAACACTATTTACTTAAACCAAAAATTCGTAATACAAAACTAAAGTGTCAAAACAAGTGACAATGTCAGGAAATAAATAAATAAATGTTGCAATTTGACATTTTTTACAGCAAATCTACCACCTGAATCCCAAGCGGGGGATAGATAAATTCCAGTTAGTCAAGCCGGCGCCGAATATGTCCATGGTTGGCAACGATGAATTTAAAAATCGCACCCTTCATTACGTAACTAAATGTTTAATCGATATCAAATATATTACTAAATGGCAATGGCAATGGCAATAAATACTGTAGCTTGGCATAGAAATGTATAGCAAAATGCTATTAAAAAAAATATAATAGCAATAAGCAGGAATAAAACAATAATAAATCGCTATAAAAAATAAAAATGTTCATAAAAGTGTGAAAATAGCATCAACCATATTTTAGATTTATTTCTAAATAAATAAATTTTTATGCAGTATTTATTTATATACATATACGAATTATTGAGTTTGAAATACTTAAATATGTTTATTAATACCTTCTTACCACAAGCAAGTTTCTTCAAAACGTTCTGTTTATATACAGGACCGAAAAATCTAAGGCACGCCAAAAATTCCGAAATAACTTTCACTAAAAATCGAATTTATATCAAAAATATTCCGTAAAAAATATGACATAAATCCCAACGGCTATACATTAAAAGGTTTAAATTTAACGTGTTGTGAAAGTAAAAGTTGGTTTACCCAGATTAGCTCCATTTATATTCGAAATGTCGTTTTGAGAAATGTTTTCTACGAATTAGTTTTTTTTATTATGTCATATCGTAGGTATAGCTATTATTATACAGCTGTTTTATTTATTTATTAATTATATCGTATAACTGCTACCCAAGCAGCATTTGGACGTCGGGACAACGTTGTGTCACGCGTCACGCGACCGTTTTTGGGTCGAAACGACGTTGGATACCTACGTTGGCTAGCAGCCTAATTTAGTACAAACTGCAACGTTGTTTAAAATCCTAATTCACAAAAATGTCTAAAGTTTTATCCTAAATTGGGATAATTATAGTAAAAATATTATTTTTATGATTTAGTTAGAGACATATGTCAGATGACAGTGAAGGAAAACAAAACAAAAGTATTTAAGTGTGGAGGATGTTTGAAGATCATAATTATTGAAACACTTTAACCGACTCTGTAACTCGTTACCCAAGGCAAAAAAGTTAAACGCAAACAACTTTATTGATAAATGTATTGTTTCTACTTTGAAAAATACTAATGGGCCTTAAAATTAAAGAAGCTTTAAAAAATTTCTTGAAATTTTTTTTTAGTAAAATAAGAATAATTTATTCGCAGTCGAAAAAAAAATTGTTTCCGCGTGATGTTTAGGGTCAAATATTTCAAGTTAATGTATTCAAAAAGCAGGAATTGCTATTTTAGGAACGAAACATTTTCTTATTCAACAACATGGCGGCTTTCACTTTGTTGTTTTTTGGAGATTAAGATGGAGTAGTTCGAGTAGTCGCATACTGGACTAATAAAGTCCGAGTTCAGCCTTAACAGGTAGTATACTAGTGGCAAGATTGCCTAATTTAGTCATCCTAGAGTCTAGCTTGTACCGCCCCGATAGTAGGCTATGACCAAAATCGCATGGCAACACCATCTGTCAAATATTGTTTATTGTAAACCGGCTTAAGATTTGAGAAATAATGTCGCAAGTAAAAGGAGAAAGTTGGAATATGCACTATAGAAAAGATGTTCGAAACATTAAAAAATTAGTGCAATTGACTGAACTCGGAAACAGTGCAGTATATTAGACAATAAAGAGGATAAAAAATGGCACAGATATGAAGCGTGGACCAGTTTCAGGAAGACCGCGTAAGATTCGCGAAAACAATGTAAACGCTTTAGTGGTTACAGTTGAGGGTTGGAACCTTTGGTGTTACACAGCAAAATAAAAACACTAAATCACCACAATACACCAAAACACTTTTACTTTTACACTGGACGCGCGTTTCGCTAACCATGTTAGCATCATCAGCAGATGATTATAAACTGACTGACTGGCATTAGGACGACAGAATCCGCGCCTAGAGTTTCGCAAATTGGCTAACAGATTGGGAAGTCAACCAAAAATTAAAAGTGTATCCAGAAACCGTCCGCATGTCACTGAAGAGAAAAGGCTACATATCAAGGAAGCCAAAAAAAATCCCTGCAATAACACCTCTACAAAGCAGCGAAGAATGGATTTTTGTCAAC